AGTAGAAGTAGTAGCAGTAGTAGTATAGTACCCTTACCGGAGTCCCTAGCTTGCGGCACTCCAGCATTCCCGAAACCCCTATTCTTCCGTTGGGGGGTGCTGGAAGCTCTGCGAGTGAGCTCTCGTTAGTTCTTCATGTGGCTTTGAAGATTTCTTGTAGGGGACGTGGGGCTCGAGCTTCTGGCCTTCACCGTTTGATTGAAGAGCCCTAAACCCCAAACCCTCCAAGCTTAAACCCCCAATTCAGCCGGACGTCCCCACTAAATCCTTTAGGTGGCCGGGTTGGTAAACTCTACCCTAAGCCCTAAACTCCCAAACACCAAAACCTCCCGAGGTGGCCAAACCCTTAAGAGCCTACATACTAAACCCTTGAGATCGTAGTTTAGGGTTTAGGGGTTTGGGGTTTAGGGTCCGACCCCAAGGTGGCCACGTTCATGTATCCCCTGGCGATCAGCAGCGGTAAGTCTGCCATGGAACCCACGATGAAGCTTCGTGGCTCTTGATTTGCTCCTGGTTTCTTGGATCCCAGATGCTGTGCAGGGGTTCTATGAAGCTTTTGCGAGGGTTCTGTACAGGTTCTATGAAGGGATCTATATGGGCTTTGTGGGGATTGTTGGCTCTTGAAGTGTCTGGTTGCGTTTCTTCTTCAAGGTTTGAGGGTTTGGGGGGCTCTAGGGCTTTGGGGTGAGGGGGTTTTAGGATGTTTTCGGTTGCCTTTGGTTTAGTGTTTGTTTGTGCCTTGCAGGGCTACCGAGTTCTATGTGGGTTCCAAAATGTTTTTTGTGCTTAGGGTTCTATTTTAGGCGTTCAGGCTATTGGTGTTTACAGCTACGGGTCTAAGGGTTTGCAGTCAACGATATCGGGCAGAGGTTTGGATGTAGGGTTGCCCCAGCCAAAGCTCACTACGAAGCCGTTGCACATTTCTGCCCATTTGGTTGGTTTTCGAGTTCTGCACTGCAGACAGTGGGAAACGGATAGAACATGTGCTCATCTTTGATTCACTTGTTGTTTGTTCATCTCGGAGCGAATCAGGTTGTGATTACACACGACCCTCAGGAGTACTGGCCCCAGTCGCAATGTTTTAGGCCAAGAAGCGACGTCGTACTCCAACCCCACATACCCAAGCCTAAACCCCCGAACTGATGCCAACCCATACGGCTTCCAAAGCCCGTCCAAAGCCTAGAACCCAAAGGCCTGCGCCCTAAGCCACAAGCTGCCAAGCCCTAAACCTAAAAGCACTAAACTCCTTAACCCGAACCCTCAGAACGCTCATGCCACGTCTCAATCCAGAACTCTCGAACCCTGCATCATCATGCGAACTCTTATCAGCCTGAAGCCCAAGCCCCTCAGCCCCTAAACCCCTAAGCCCTAAAACCCAAGCCGTGAAGAGCTCCTAAACCCTAACATCTAGACTCTGAGGTTCGCACTTTTCCTGACCACCACCGACCTCTTAGGCCGGCCTAAAGCGGGCCAAAAGAGCATCCGAGACGGTTTAGGGTCTTAGAGTCTTAGAGGGTTTCGGACATAAGACCCTTTGAATTAAGCAACATGCTATTGGCTTCGGGGGGTCAGAATTCAGGGCCCTGCAAAAGGTTTCGGCAGGCTTCTGCCAGGGGCTAGAAGCACTATAGAACTCAAACTTATAGAGCGTGTGCTTTACCCCCCCCCTGATGATTGTTGTTTGATGTTCGCCCAAACCCTAAGTTCCGGACACTTCCAACACTCCAAACACCCTGGACCCTTCCTGAGGCCTGAACTCCCAAAACTGGCTAGATCTTAAAGACCTGCCTAAACCCTGTAAAGCCTGAACCCAAAACGCAAAGCACAAATCGGATCAAGAAGTGTTTTAAAAACAAAGCCCTGAACTCTTGACGAGATCTTCGTCGAGATGTCGTGAAACTCGGGGGTTCATCCGCAAGTCGTTTACAAGTATTTTGGAGTTCAGGGTTTTAGGGTCAAGAGCATTTTGGGGCTCGGAAAATCATGGTTAAGCGCCAAATCCCAAAGGTTGCTGAATTTCTGGAGTTTGGGCTCTAGATGGGGCTTGATTCGAGTGATCTCTGAAACCTGGTCGTAGAAACAAGTCTTATCCTGTTCAGGGTACACTTGTTAACCAGTTAAGGTTGAATCACGTAGAAGGTTGAAATTTTGACTTTCCTTTGGGGGGTTTTGTAGATGCAAGCTTTGGACCTCGTGGCAGGTGCTGCTGTGGCCAAGTGTGTGGCATACTGGGCCTGTGCTCACGGCGGTGCTTGGGATGCAAGCCGGACAGCGAGTTTCTAGCACTTCTGTCTTCGATGCAATCAGTTTGTTTTTTCTGATCTTCTGCTTCGCTGCACTTTTCGAATCCTCCTCTGTTTTCCTTTAACCACGACTGCCCGACATCTTGTTCCAAATTCCTGTTTCACGATGGATCTAGCTTGGCGGACGCCCGATGAAGTTCTCATAATCCTACACCGAACTCTTCCGCAAACCTACGCCCTGAAGCCCCGGCATGGTTCGAAGGCCGCCCGAAAAGCTTTGTCAGCCCTGGCCGAAGGTGCAACAATGTGGGCTTAGCACCCCGGTACTCCCCCGCAACTAAGCGTTTGTTTTCGGGGCTGTGGTGTGCTCAGAATGTAGGCCGTCGCCGGGAATTGCAGACCCTGGGATTTGATGCGAACAAAAGTCGGGGCGCGGGCATCGACTGTCAACCGTCTGTTTGTGGGTGTAGGCATATACACATGTGCACATGTATAGAGATCTTTCAGTATTTGAACCCTGAAATTTGAAGAACCGAAGCTTTCGCAACTGCTGGAGGCCTCGTGGGCGGAATCTTCTTTCCGCTCCTCTACTACGGCTCCTCCGTCTGCACTAAACCCTAAACCTCAAACCCTAAGACCGAAACCCTTATAAACCCTAAACCTTGAACCCCTTCAACTGCTAAGCCTCAAACCCTGAACCCTAACCTGAAACCCTGAATCCTCAAGATTGAAATAAATAGAAATTGTGTGTCGTTGTTCGTTCGCCTGGAGCCCCCTAATAAACCGCGAAGTTCAGCCGCCACCCCCAGCCCCGGTAAACCCGCCAACCCAGCCTAGAAGCCCAAAAAGCCCAGTCCAGAACCCACCCCCGTTCAGCCCAGCCCCGTAACTCAGAAGTAAAGTGATTTAGGATTCACACTTCATGGCCTCCCTGAGCTAAGCAGTTAATGGATGTCTGCTTTCATCAACTCATGGGTTTTCTCTGCTGCAGGAGTTTTGTCGAGCTTGGCCAGTGTGAACTCGAGTGTTGCAGTACATTGCTCTGGTGTAATCTACTCTTGCAAGGCTTTGTCCAGACTCCCAGGCAGCGTTTCAACTCGCGGCTGCTCTTGACTTCGCTTTTCTCAGCCTTGCGGGAATCCACACTCCCAGCGTGTGGGGGAAGAAGGATCCCCGAATCTGAGAGTCTACAAAGACCCGCTCGAATCATTGAACTCCGCACCCCACGACCGAAATTGTATCCCCCTCAGCCTTAGACTACACACCGACAACATCCTAAACCCGAAGCCCTCTGAGCTCTAAGGTCTGACTCTCGGAGAGGTTTGTGCGAAGGTCTTCAACATTAGCCTTGCTCTTAGCCCCGACGCCTTTGCAGTTTCAGTTTAGCCTTCGGTTTTGACGGGATGTTCCAGAATCTGCAAGGGTTCTACTACAAGGACTCTATTAGTCTGTTACGGTTCGTTTGAGGTTTTTGTAAAGGCTACTTGTATATGAGGCCTCATAGCTCTTTTAGGAGCCTCGGGGAGGTCTTGCAGGGCGGTAGAGACTTCATGGTCAACGGTGGGAGGTTTGCGCTTCACGGGATATAGGTCTTCGTCTGCTTCTCAGGGCGTCGCCACCTGGACCCCATCCCTACATGCACTTCGGTGCTTGGAGCGTTGGAGCAAACTTTCCCGACATCCCAAAGCCACGCTTTGGATTTGGGAGTCTTCTTTGACAGGGCTTGCGTTGCTTTGGTGTTTCGGTTGCTTTGTCCACTCTTTCTTTCGGCCTGCGGGTTACCGGCTCAAGCTTGCAGCTAACTCCGTCTCACGCTGCTGACCTAGTAGAAGACATTGTTGGATGAACTGTCACAGACGTTTAAGTTTAAGCTCCTTAGAGTCAAAAAATTACAAGCAGGCCTAAACCCTGAATGCGAGCCTGTTCAGCACATTGAGGCCGGGCAGTGGCTGTTCCAGTGATGCTGGGCGCAGTGCCTGGCGCGCTGCTCCCCGCGCCGTTACTTGGAGTTCTAAAGGCTGGAGGATTGCTCTGGGACTTGATCATACCAGTGCCAAAAATGGAAAAGACAGCAATACCAACACTTGACTTTAAGGTGCATGGGCTGTGGTTGGAGAGTGGTCTTGGAGCTTGGTAGAAGTGCTTGATCCCAACCAATACAAGCCCGAACCCTGAATTGTAAACCCGAGAATGCCCAGACACAAAAGCAAAAAACAACTCTAGACTCCCTCTGTGGCTGTCGGCTCAGGCTTACGGCGTTGTCCTTTCCTGTGGGGCTGTTCGCCCGGACCTTAATCACCAGAAAAGTTTTGGGCTAAAGGCTTGGGGTTTTAGGGTTGCGTGCTTAAGCCCACAATTATTTGTGGCTCAATGTAGGATACAGCGTGTTTTAAAGCCATCCAAACCACTCATCGTTTATTCTATTGAATAGTTTCTGAACGTCCAGGCGGGCAAGAACGTGATTTTAGTTTTCAGGTGTGCACTGAGATCCTTTCTGATTTTCCATATGGCGTTTTCGAGGTATCTGTTCATAAGCAATTCTGAACGCTCAGATTCCCAAACCCCCTCGTGCCATTTCTGGAGTGCTTTGTTTGTTGCTTTGCCAGCTCGGTTCAGTTCGGGAGCCAGTGCGACTGGAACTGCCGGAAACTGTCTCACGGTGCCTTGTTTAGCGGGCTGGGCAAAAACAGAGGACGCCTTGAAGCTAAGCCTCATGTGAAGGCAACAAGCATCTCAGGTTAAGGCCGCAGTTCCAGCGAAGGATTGAGAAATAGAACGCCCTACGCCCTACACAAGGGTTGCGACAGAACGACAGAACGGCTGGTGGGCCCTACAACGAGCCCCCTGCCTGCAATCCAGGCCCTAAGCTTTTGGCAACAACCGTCATGAAGTATAAAGCCGGGCCCCGAAAGGGTTCCTGCAGCTTAAACTCCAGAAGATGTAGGGCTTTGTGGGTTTTAGGATTTAGGTCTCTTCCGGCTTTGAATCCCCGCAAGCAGTCATCGAAGTCAGTACAAGTGGAATCCTCCACAGCCTGAGGTCACAGGACCGGTGCAGACCGTGCCTATCCTGGTTGCCATCGTCACCGCCTCTATGCCTGGAGCCCAGCTCAATGAGAGATGCTGAGTGTTCAGGCTTTTTGTTTGGAGCTTGTGGTTTCCGAAGGCACCTTGCAAGTTTAGAGTTGGGATTGGAGGTTTCGTGCCTGGCTTCGGAACTAAGGGGCAAGAGGTGGTAACCGGAGACTGTCAAAGGAGAATGCTCAAGTCAAACACCTAGTTCACGCATCTATCAGAAGATGCATTCTAGGCTTTGAACAACAAAGCCCAAACCCCAAGGCCCCAATCGCACAAAACTCCAAAACCCTGGTCTTACAGCCGAAATCCCAAACCCCAAGGCCCAGAAACCCCAAGCCCTACACCGTCAATGCGATGACCTCTAATCGCCCCTGAAAAAGTGACTTTAGGGGCCTTAATGATTGCTTATACTATTTTGGGGAGTATAACAGTCCCCAAGACCTTATTCTAATTTTTGAAGCTCCCACATGATCAAAGCGATCCCAAACCGACAACTCCGAAGACCGCTTGCTAGGCTCCTGGTGGGCAGCGGCTTTCTCGAGAAGCTCATGGTGAAGAGGGCCTAATCTTTTAGAGTTTCGGCTTCTGGTGGTTTCTCCGGCTTCCCGCTCTTCTTGGGGTCTTTGGATTGGAGATCAGACTAAATGAAGCTTATAGGAGGGTCGTCATGGTGACTAAGAACATGGATGTTCTTTGGAGTTCTTTTCACAGGGGCTTCATTCTTTTTGCGTAGTCATCGCCAGCTTTTGCAGTGCTTTGAGAGTTCCGCCTTTAACTTTGCGGGCTCTTCAATGCTCTCATGAATGAATTGAAGATCTGCTGAACCCCGGAGCCCAACAGCCTTTGCCGACCATTCTCCCAGGGCTCGATATTTGCAGTAGTGATTGAGAAATACGGAAAGGATGCAAAGGATTTTAATTGTTTGTAAATGTTCAACAGATATATTTGCGAATTAATCTGTCTCTTCAAGAGGAGGAGGAGGAGAATGGCCCACAGACGTTAATGCGGCCGTCAACCCACTTCCAGCAAGCATCTCCGAGCGGCTCCGTAGTCGTCATAGCCGCTCTCCGCGAGGGGTTCGAGAGGGCGTGTATCTAATGCAGCCAAGTTTCAACTAGAAAAGGAAGGGGTAGTGGATGCTAGTACGGGTAGACCCCTACAATTGAAAAGGAAGAAGGACGGCGATCACCTTACCGAACTTGCGGAACATGTGAAAAAGCCAGGCCCTAAACAGCGCGAGGCAGGTGCGTCTGTGCAAAATTAAGACCAAAAACAGAGAATGGGAGGCCAGGTCTCTACGCAAGTCGTAAGATGGCAGCCCTGGCCTCCAATCTCGCAATTGGGATTACAACAACAAACCAACATTCGGCAATGGGAGGCGGAGAGCCTACGCATCTTGCGGAAGATGACAACGACACGGACCACGCACAATGGAAAGAACCCACAACTACGAGACGGGGAACTGGGAGTACAGCAACGGCCCTGCAAAACAAGGCGAAAAGCTTACGGGAGTTGCAGAAGATGGCAACAACCCAGGCCCCAATCTCGGAGCGTGATATGGGATTGCAGCAGGAACCCTGCCACGGGACATGGAAAGTGAAAGGCCTACGGAACTCGCGGAAGGATGGCAACAACCCAGAGCATGGGCAGACCCCTACGGAACTCGCGGACGATTGACAACCAGACCCCCCGATCTCGATGCGGGCTTGGCAGGGCGTCTCGGATTACAAACAGAACCCTATAACAGGGAATGCAAGGCGAGCCCCGACCCACAATCTCGGAGCGAGACAGGGGGTCTGGGATTACAGCAACAAGGAAAACGAAAACCTGCGGGAGATGCGGAAGATGGCAACAATCCAAACCCCCAATCTCCGAGCGAGACAGGGGGTCTGGGAATACAGCAAGAACCCTACACAGCGCATGAAAAGCGGACGACCTACTAAAGTTGCGGAACGGCCAAAGAAATTACGAAAGATGGCAACAACCCAGACCCCAATCTCGGATCGAGACGGGGGTGCTGCGATTGCGGCAAGAACCCTGCGCATGACAAGGAAAGCGAAAGGCCAACGAAAGTTGCGGACGATGGCTACAACCCAGACCCCCAATCTCGGAGCGAGACGGTGGTCTGGGATTGCAGCAAGAACCCTGCTCGGGGCATGGAAAAACGAAAAGCGTAAGTTGCGGAAGATGGCAGCAACCCAGACCCCCAATCTCGGAGCGAGACGAGGGTCTGGGATTACAGCAACACCGGGAACTTTGCGTGAAGCATGGACAGCGAAAGCTACTGGAGTTGTGGAACGGCCTACGAAGTCACGAAAGATGGCAACAACCCAGACCCCTAATCTCGGAACGGGACCGAGGGTCTGGGAAGCAAGAACCCTGCGCAGGGTCATGAGAACGAAAAGCCTGCGTGAGTTGCGGAAGATGGCAGCAACCCAGACCCCCAATCTCGGAGCGAGACGGGTGACTGGATTACAGCCAAAGCAGGAACTTTGCGTGAAGCATGGACAGCGAAAGCTAATGGAGTTGTGGAACGGCCTACGAAATCACGAAAGATGGTAACAACCCAGACCCCGAATCTCGGAGCGAGACGGAGGGTCTGGGATTGCAGCAAGAACCCTGCGCATGGCATGGAAAACGAAGGGCCAACGAAAGTTGCGGACGATGGCTACAACCCAGACCCCCAATCTCGTAGCGAGACGGGGCGTTTGGGATTGCAGCCAGAACCCCTGCGCGGGGCATGGAAAAACGAAACGCGTAAGTTGCGGAAGATGGCAGCAACCCAGACCCCCAATCTCGGAGCGAGACGAGGGTCTGGGATTACAGCAACACCAGGAACTTTGCGTGAAGCATGGACAGCGAAAGCTACTGGAGTTGTGGAACGGCTTGCGAAATCACGAAAGATGGCGACAACCCAGACCCCTAAGACCCCCCGATCTCGGACCGAGACGGGGTTCTGGGATTACGGCAAGAACCTCACCCAGGGCATGGAACTACGAAAGTTGCGGAAGATGGCAACAACCCAGGCCTTATCATGGAGCCAGACGGGGTTTGAGAGTGCGGGAAGATTCGTATAGCTGACAGCCAGCACTGGGGAGCAGAAAAAAGCTCCTCGGCACACCCTGCAAGAAGGAGGCGCAGAAGGTGCCACAGTGCAGGGTGATGTGCTAGTTGAGCAAAAACAAGGACCGGCCAGAACAGGCACGCGATGGGCTGGGGAACGGTCGCGCAAATGGGATGACGTGACCCCCGAGGCCTACCACCAAAAGGCTTACTAAGTAAGCAAGCGAGCGTGTTTGGCGAGAAGAGGAAGGACGAAGATTGTGGCACTGTCGCCCTGACGGGAGGTTTACGGGCGAGGCGGGGGTGCTCATCGGCGGAAAAGCCGCCTTAATGCCGCCCCGGTGTCCCGCCCATTTCGATAAAACCCCGTAAGACTTCAAACAACCCGTCAGATTCAGGGCTCTGTATTTTCAAATCTCATCTTAATAAATATATAAGAATTTCGAATCTTATTCATGAGAAGAAAATATATTTATAATCGCTTTATCATTTTTTATCGAATTCTGTATATTTCGAATTGAAAATCTGATATAAAAATAAAAGAAGTATAATATAAAAATTTACAGTTTTTTATAATCTTCTATATAAAATAATATAATAAGATTGATATTCGATATTTATTTAATTTGATTTTTTAAGAATACGGATTATATTTAATATATTGCTATAAAGATAGAAATATAAAAATATTGATATGAATTAGATTTGAATTATTGATTAGATATTTGAATAATTGATTTTATATTTTCTTAAAAAATTAGGGGCAATTTCGATCGAGGTTTGTACTGGTATTATTATATAGATCGCACGTGGGCATGGGTAAGGAAGATAAATCGAAATATTCAGTAGCTGGCTCTTTCCGAATTTTCTAAGAATTTTATAGAGATATTGGGGACGCATTTTGATTATCTATTCTCAAAATTTTTTAGGCAAGACCCATAGTGATTGTTTGAATTTCTCGGATTCATGAAATCTTTAAGTGTTAAATGTTTTTTTATTAGATGCTAGAGAAGGTATTGGTTTAGTATGATAAGGACGAAAATCATAGATATTGAAATCTAAATCAAGATTGGATTACAAAGCACTTAGCGAATTTTCGTTATTAGTGGATCGGAAAATATAGAATTCATATCGTGCGGTTGCAAATCATTTAGAAATGAATATAGATGAAAGGAACGAGATTTTCAATATCTGATCAAAATGAGCTTCTCCTATAGTCGTTATTCAGCCTTGCAGTTTTGAGGCCATTTCTCGGCACTACGATATCAAGGAAAGATATCGCTCAGCAAAATGTCGCCCAGCAAAATTATGTCTTTTAGCATTGGGGCGTCGCTTCGAGATTCATAAATTATACAAAACTTTCAATTCTTTATATTGAGATATCATTTCATTATATCATATTAAAATAATGGCGTATATTTTTGCATTGGGATACAATCTCTAAATCGAAGCAAATCAAATATATTAGTATTGGGACAGCACATGAAGCCCAAAACCTGGCTCGTACAATCTCTGGACCATCACTTGAGGCCCGAAACGGCAACAAATTCAATTTAAATAAAATCAAAAATTTTCAATCTCTTGACCATGAGGCATCATTATATTGGGTTTTAATTTAATTTCGTAATGATGCTTTTATATTCAAAAATATAATAAGTTTGACTTTTCGTCGATAAAAACCCCACTCTCAAGAAATTCTATTTTCTAATGATGTCGATAATATTCAATAATAAGAAGTGCCAATATTAGCCGTTATTTTGGTCTGAAAGATATGTCCCAGTACTAAGAAATATTATTGATTTAATGATCTTGTCTTGGCCAGCGCTAAGAAAAACGATTTATTACCGTTCTTGACGAGTTGTTGCCGTTGCCGTTTGGCCTCGAAATGCCCAAGCGCTAAGAAGTACGATTGGGTGTCGTTGTTTTGGCTTCCAAGTGATGCCCCAGTGCTAAGAAGTGCGATTTGTTGCCGTTGCTTTGGCTTCGTGGGGATATAGGCGGCGTATTCCAATTTGGAAAATGGGAGCTCCATGCTGATTCGCAAAAAAAGGTTCCCATTACTTTTTTATTCGATATTCAAAAAAAAATCTAGGAAAATGGCAAATCTCTTGCATTGCTGATACGAATTGAAATGCCATTGCTTTTGGCTTCCAAAAATTGCCCCAGCGCTAAGAAGTACGATTTGTTGCCGTTGTTTGTCCTCGAAAGGATGCTCCAGTGCTAAGAAGTACGACGTGTTGCCGTTGTTGTAGTTTCAAAGTGATGCCCTAGTGCTAAGAAGTACGATTTGTTGCCGTTGTTTTGACTGTTATTTTGGCCTCGACGTGATGCCCCAGCGCTAAGAAGTACGATTTGTTGCCGTTGTTTGGCCTCGAGGTGATGCCCCAGTGCTAAGAAGTACGATTTGTTTTAGCCTCGAAGTGATGCCCCAGTGCTAAGAAGTACGATTTATTGCCGATGTTGTGGCCTCGAAATGATGCTGCAGAGCAAAGAAGTACGACTT